TATAGTCCCCATTACTCTAAAAAACCCCAGTCGCTATGCTGGGAAGCTACCTCTGTGCAACAATTGCAACTATCATCATCAGGGACAGTGCCGGGAGATGTCGTGCAACAGCTGTGGCAAGAAGGGCCACACAGCTCGAGGCTGCAAGACACAAGTCCAACCCACTAGCCAGGCCCCTGGAGCAGGCATTGGACAAGCCTGTTATGGTTGTGGAGAAGTCGGGCACTACAAGAGAAACTGCCCCAAGGCAACAACAGCTGGTAACACGGGGATAGTGCTAGCGATGGGCCAAGAGGAGGCAGTTGCAGATCCCACCGTTGTTTCGGGTACGTTGCTCCTCGATAACTATTATGCATGCATTCTTTTCGATTCTGGTGCGGAGAAAAGTTTTGTTAGTCATGCATTCAAACACCTAATCAAATGTGAACCCTAACCTCTAACCGAAACATTTACCGTCGAGATGGTTAACGATGAGAAAGAGAGCACTAACGACATATTCATAGGCTGTACCCTTACCCTAAACGATCATTCTTTTCCGATCAATCTTATGCCAGTTTCCATAAAAAGCTTCGATGTCATCATCGGCATGGATTGGTTGAGCCCCAATCGTGCTGATATCCTGGTTACGAAAAAGCTATCCGTCTGAACCTTCTTTCTCGTGAAACCCTCATGATCTATGGTGATAAACTCAGCTCGAACCTCCACATCATCTCGTGGATCAAAGCCCAAAAACTTCTACGAAAGGAGTGCCATGCATTCCTAGCCCACGTCATAAACGAGAAGCAGGAAGTTAAAGACCTCGAGAGCATCCCCGAAGTCTGCAACTTTCCTAATGTCTTTCCCGAAGAGCTCCCGGGAATCCCTCTCGAGCGCCAAGTCGAGTTTCGCATCGACTTAGTCCCCGGAGCTACCCCCGTAGCTAAATCCCCATACCGCCTAGCGCCAGCAGAAATGCAGGAGTTATCCAGTCAGCTCAATGAGCTGCTCAGCAAAGGATTCCTCAGATCGAGTTCCTCACCCTGGGGAGCCCCGATCTTGTTCGTGAAAAAGAAGGATGGATCCTTTCGGATGTGTATTGGTTACCGCGAACTGAACAAACTCACTGTCAAAAACCGTTACCCCCTTCCCCGAATCGACGACCTCTTCGATCAACTTCAAGGAACCAGCTACTTCTCCAAAATAGACCTAATATCAGGGTACCATCAGCTGCGAGTCCATGAGAGTGATGTTCATAAGACAACATTTCAGACTCGGTATGGTCACTACAAACTTGTGGTAATGCCCTTCGGTCTAACCAACGCACCGACAGTATTCATGGACCTGATGAATCGGGTGTGCCGTCCTTTCCTGGACAAGTTCATCATCGTGTTCATCGACGATATACTTGTCTATTCCAGAAGCGAGGAAGATCACAAACAGCACTTGAGATTAGTGCTGGAAACTCTAAGCGCAGAGAAGCTTTACGCGAAATTCTCCAAGTGCGAATTCTGGATTCGAAAAGTAACCTTCCTAGGTCACGTGGTAAGCGAGGAAGGCATACACGTGGATCCCTCAAAAATAAAAGCGATAGAGAACTGGTCAGCACCGAAGACGCCCACAGAAATTCGTCAATTCTTGGGTCTCGCTGGCTATTATCGTAGATTTATCTAGAATTTCTCTAGAATTGCCAAACCCTGTTGTCTTAAATCGTCTGATCGCAAAACTCTCGTCATTCATAACGATAAACTAGATGCGAACCCCCATAATTCCATCTCGCCTCAAACTCTCGAAGGTATTCATACAAGGAGTATCGTATCCAACCGTAACCTTCCTTAAGCACCCTCAACAAACCATTTTGGAAAAACCCCTCGCGCAACAAGTCAAGTTCAAGCACAGAGGCTAAGGACACATACGGTTAGCCTATCAATGTTAAATGTGCACGCGAGGGTGGTGTATAATTAAGATCCTGCAGACTTAGGATGTGTCTTTCCACCCTATCTCATGTTCCTTGTTTGGTTGTAGACCTGGGGCACTGACACCCATCCGATCGTCTTATTAATCTTAATTATATACGACTTGTGTACATGAGGCAATGATAGACGGACTAGGTATGAGTCCTACCATGAACTCAAGGACAAATGTTGCTCAGAACTACGAAATAACACCCTACCAGTTGGATGAACGTGGCCAGGCAACCCCAACCTACACATCATTCACAAATCAGAATAGCAGATACAGCAGTAATCCGTTTTCATAGTATACCTGTAATCATTACCTCCGACTGGGTTAGCAAGTTACCTAGAGAACTTAGTAACATACATTCTGTCATTCACATGTTGAACTCAAATCAGTGTCTGCCCGATGAGACACTCGCGATTCCCCTCGACAATATCGAATTCCACGAGAATCTACACGTCATGTAGGAATCATTGAACTCAGGAACCAGGAAGTCTAGCGCACGAAACAAACGTCGTATCCGGTTAGTGAAAGTTCCCTGGGATACCAATCAAGAACTTGAATTCACTTGAGAGCACGAGAACCCAAGGAAACAGAAGTACTCCCATCTCTTTTAGATCCGCGAGTCGTATCATTATTCTTGAATTTCGGGACGAAATTCCCTCTAAACGGGGGATGATGTGACAACCCGAAATTTCTCCCGTTATTTTTAACCCATCTCCCTTAATAAAATTTAATCTTATTAAATTTTCCGTCAACTTCTTGGGTTAAGTAAATCAACTAGGGATATAATTAAAATTTTATATGATTCGGAATAAACCGGGAATCACGCGAAAAACTTGAAACTTCCTCGAAAATCACCAAGTTCACGGTCAGAACGAGTTTACCACAGGGAACTAACAGGGTTTTTCAAGAAAACTACGTCTAACGATATAAGTATGGTAGATACTTGTACACCTCATACTAGAAACAGATAACCAACCATCAACTTTTAGGGAAAATATAGGATTTTCCTGGGATACTCAACCTTTCATAAATGAACTGCTTAACAAATAACTAATGGATAATCAAACATCTTTCATAAGAAAATATAGGATTTTCTTGGGAAACACTTTTCAAAGGATTAAGGAAACATTTTTCATCAGAACTAAATACTTATGAACTCACTAGTTTTATGCTGATACTCTTTCAAACTGCTTGTATTCTCAGGGCAGCAATAGACATGTACTTTTATCAACTTTTGGAGAAGATGGAGCTTTTGGAGTCACGTCTTTTACTTTTGTTATATACTATTATGTACAAACTATGTTTTCAAACAGATGTAAATAATCATATTGTAATGTAATGGTTGTGTTTACTTTGCCTACTATGATACAACTGTTGTGATACTATGCATGACGTCACCCGCCTCCGAACGTTTCCGCCGTTATTTCTGACGGTTCGGGGGTGTGACAGTATATGAGGATGATATTGGTAAAAATAATGATTTGTTGAATGAGAAAGATGATGAAGATGATGAACAAGGAAATGTAAGTGGATTCAATGAAGAAGAGTCCATGAATTTAAATTATGTTGTTGAAAATGTTACTAAGAGTGTGGGTCTAATTGATAGCCAGTAAGGTGTATCTTTTAGTCAATTCATTTGTGATCCAATTGTTGAAAGTTTTCTTAAAACTTTGGATCAAGGTAAGCATATTTTATTATTATATATAGTTTAATCATATATAATTTTAAATTTTTATATTTGAATTTTATAAGTGCTGAAAACTTGGTTGATGGTTGTATAAATCAGAAACGAGTTGAAGATGATGTGAATGAGAATTTGACTGGTTTTGAGAAAAATGAATTTGATGACAGTAAGTATTTATTTATGTATTTTTTATACATAAAATATATATGAATATGTTATATAGATGATTCACTTATGATTTTAATAATTTAGGGACTGTAAATTTGGGTGAGGATGATAAAGTTATTGTAGCAAAGAAGGATGGAGAAGGTGAAGATGTTGAAGTTGATTTGGATTTAGGGAAAGCAATAGAATATTTTTCAAATAAAAACAAAGATGGAGGTAATTAGTTTATAATTATTGTTTATTCATATATGATTTTTATAATTTTATTGGGTAGAAACTATTGAAGATGGTTTAGAAATTATACAATTGAAGGATTCAAGGAGCCTCAATCAACTGCAAAAGGATAAAGTGGAAGGGAAAGTTGAGAAGTTTTCTGTTCCAAGTTTTAGTCTTGGATTTAGTCAAGATTCTGAAGGTTCCAATAAGTCATCTCAAAGTCAAAGTTCTTCTGAATGGATGACAAAGAAAAAGATTAAGGATAGAGTTTATTTGAAGAAACCAAGTGCTGGTCCAGAGTGTGTTATTCCAAATGCTGATGTTATTGATGCTAGTCCTGTTTCTTTTGCACCCCCTTTGGGTACATTAGAAGGACCATCAAAACCAATTTCTGTCAAACCTAAAGATATAAATGAAGAAGGAACATCAGTAGTAGATGTCAAAGGAAAGAGAGAAATGAAATTTTCTTATGTTTATAAGTCACCTTTTAATGAAAGGTTAATTGATTTTAAACCAAGTTTGACACAAGTAGAAAATGTTGTTTGTGAATGGCTTTTCAACCTTCAAGGAAATCCAGGGTAATTTTTTCAAATATAATTTTTTATTTTTATAATTATAATTTTTTATTTTTAATGACATTTAAATAAATATATACATGGATATTGTCTTGCTTATGGAAACAGATGTTATGGGTTTTAGAGCTAATTATGAAAGTCTTTATAAAAAACCTATTTGCATGTAAGTGTTCCTGTTTCATGGTCTCGTATACTAAATCATGAAGAGAAATTCAGAGATGTTGTTAATTCTCCACTCAGATTGTTCATGAATGTTGACACTGTAAATTTTTATTTTATTCTTTTCTTTTTATATTTTTATAATCATTTTATTATATAATCATTTTTGATTTTTTATATTACAGACTTTGTCATTTGAATATAATCATTTGAATGAAACTGTAAAATATAAAGTTTTCAAGGAGAACTTCTCTCGCAGTGTTTCTGGTGATAGAGACTTGAAGGTTTTGAAGGATGTTGATATGGTATATTTAGTTTTTTTATACATTTATATATATTTATTAATGTTTTTTTTCTAATATTATACATGTTGATGTGAAGTATTTTTCCCTGTTTTGAGGCAAAATCACATATATGTTATTGTTATCAATCTGAAGAAACGTGCTTTTGAGGTTATTGATAATGGTGTAGATGATGCTGATTTTGATGATAAGTATGGTGCAGTTTTTAAACCTCTTGTAAGTGTCAAATCATATTTATAATTTAGATTTGAAATCATGTATGATATGTTTTATAATTATTATACTTATATTTTTATGATATGAAATCATATATGATTTTCAGAAAAAGTTTTTTTTGAAGTATCTAAAAGAGATCAATCATGTTAAAGTAAATGAAATGGCTGATAAAAATCATACACCAGTAAGATTGATAATGACATGGAGGACAGTTTATAACAAAGTGGATTGTGATATTTTTGCTATGAGACATATGGAGAGTTATTTTGGAGAAAAAGGTTCTAAATGGAAATATGGTCTTCCAAAAGAAGGTGGTTCTCAAGAAAAAATTCTGGAAAAGTTGAGAATGATATATGAAGCATAAATTTTAACTTCTAAGATTAATACAAAGCGTGATGATGTGTTGAAAGCTGCGTATGGGTATCAAAAAGTTGATCAAAAGATTCGTGGTAAGCATGCATATGATGCTCAATGGAATATAGAAAATGGTTGTCGAATTTTTTTTGATTGAATATTTTCTTATTGATGATGTTATAAGAAAAAGTTTGTTTATGTTGTGTATGTTATGGATATTGTGAAGAATGTTTGTTTTTATGATGATGGGAAACATGGTGATGGAAAACAAGTTAATATGTATTTTGGTGGATTTTACTATGTAAGTTTGTTTGTGTGAATTATGTTATTGAATGTTAATCATAAGTGATTATGTTATATTTTTATATGTAATTATATTTTTAGTATTGATTATATGTTGTTTATATGTAATCATTAGTGATTGTATCGATTATTTTTTTCTGTTTTTGTAATCATAAATGATTATATATGTTGTATAACACATTATAATTTATTATATCTTTTTCTTGATAAGTGAGCTTATCTTTACTGCATGGAATACATCACCATGCAGAATCTTATCTTTGTAAGATTTTAGTTTTGTTTTTTAGTGTTTATAGTGAAGAATCTTTTCTTTATAAATGAAAACAGATTGGGACAGCCATATAGTGTATTTTTGATAAGTGATTATGTTTGTATAAAGGGGGTAGCCTCATGCTACCCCTTATATTTGTTCAAAGACGAGTCCTTATACTTCCAAATGGTTAGCTTTGTTTATTAATTTCTTCAGTTTTTAATTTATTTTTTTTTGTATATCACCATTACTTATTTATGATGTAAACAACTTCCATTTTGTTTCAGGTACAATATGGAGTCTATAAGTCTAAAAGAACTAATTTTGCTGTATCTAATAACATGTTCCCCATTTTTTCAAGATTCTTGTTCTTTTATTTGTAGCAAGATTTTCATACAGATTGTAGCTGACTCCAAGAACCCCTCTTCCACAATTACTTAAAAAGTTTATCTTCATTGAACATATCAGATCTTTACTAGATGTCTTTGAAGTAGAGGAATGTTGTTCATTTAAAGAAGATTTCTTTTTAATGAACAACATTTCTCTACATCAGATATGTAGTAAAGATTTGGTATGTTCAATGGAGATAATCTTTCTAAGTAATGGTGCAAGAGTTCTTGGAGTCAGCTACATTATGTATGAAAATCTAGCTATGAATATGAAGAACAAGAATCTTGGAAAATGGGGAACGTGATATTTGAGACTTGTGAAATTATTTGTTATTGAAGGTTTTATCATGTATATTGTTATGTTTATATTTTTTATGAACAGTGTTGTATATTTGTTAGGAACAATGTTGTTATATATGGTTATATGTAATGAGTTTTGTAGTAGAACTTTGATGTTATTTATATGTAATCATATTTTTAATCACTTATGATTAAACAAAACATATGAAGTGGTATTACATAATCCTTTATGATTATATATATGAATATTGTAGATGGTTATATGTAATGAGTTTTGTAGTAGAACTTAGATGTTATTTTTATATTTAATCATAAATGATTGCATGTATTGAATAACAGTTAACATATTACATAATTATTTTTATTTGTATAATCATAAATGATTATATAATACCACTTCATATGTTTTGTTTAATCATAAGTGATTATATACTTTTGTAATCATAAAAGGCTTAAAGTTAGATAGAAGAAGGTTTAAGATAGAAAAAAATTCAAGAAAACTAATTTGTTGTACTACTAATAAAATCAAAGAAAGAATTATCAACGTAAATTCTGTTTTATAAAAAGAGTAAAGTGTACCAAACAAAAAGTATATTATTTAGAAAAAAAATCATGAATTATTCATTACTGATTAAACTAGTAATTATTTATGTAGCTTTTGATGATTGTTTTGCTACAAGTTTTATTGGGCATGTACGCAAGTTATGAGGAGCCCTTTCTCCACATCCTGAGCATCTTCTTGTTTGCTTGTTTGAATTTTTATATGCTATTTCTGCTGCACTTTGAATTCCATTTTTCTTTCCACTTCCTTTATTGCTTTGAACATTTGGAACATTGATGTTAATGTCTTTTGGAATAGAAATGCCCATAAGCTTTCCTACCTCTTCAACATCTGTCCTATTTTTCTGCAATTCATTTGTAGGATCGTTCTCGTATTCCTTCAACATGCTTTCTGTTTTCTTAACAAACAAATCCATTTTGTCTTTATTTTTTCTTACGTATTCCAAGCATGCTTCAAAGTGTAGTATGCTTGATTGACAGATCTGTTAATTTCACTGTCTCCTGTATCATATACATGCCTACCAAAGTGATAATGCCTTGATATCACATCCTTTCTCCAATGATTCTCAATGTACTGTTCAGGTATTTCCTTAATTCCATGTTTCATGAGTATGTTGAATACATGTCTGCACAAAGTCCCAATGCGGTTGAAGTGTTCACAAGGACATTTTACACCACTTATTGGAAGTTTTATTTCTACATATTCAAAATAAAATTAAAGCATTAAGTGTTTTATAATCAACTGAAAATGTATATTACGTTTTGATTCATCAAAATTTTAAAATAAGAACATATTACCTCAAATTCTGTTTTTAGATCACTGTTTTTGTTCAGTTGTTCCACTTTGTATAACTCCCATCTGTTTTTTATTCCAATATGTTTGTATTGGCAGTACCAGGAACCTTTGTAGATTTCTTTCTGTACTTCATAAAACAATGTACTTGTATAAACTTTTGCAACATGTTTTTCTATAGGTCGCGGTGAAATAAATTTATATACTAGCTTCTTTGTTTGACGATCAAGCTCCTTTCGTGTATTTCTTAGTTTTTGAATTGCTGTGTCATAGTTCATCATGAAATGCAAAAGTAAATTTCCAGATTGTGAGTAAGTGTTGAAGAAGGAATTCATGCTTTCTGATCTTGAAGTGGTTTTCATCAATCTAGACATTCTAGTGTCACTGAAGTACGCAGGTATCCATTTGTCACGTAATCCGAACATATCATTGAACCATCTTTTATCTTCGAGGTTGAATTCATCAATAATCAACTCCCACTTCTTCTCAAATTCATTAGGTTTGATATGCATGTTCCATACAAGCTTGTTAAATCTTTTCTTGAAGTCTTTGTTTTTAAATAAATCGTCAGTAACCTATGAATGAATAATTTTACTTATACAAGTATAAATTATATACTTATTTGGATATATCATATATGAGTAATCATATATGATTATGTACTGTAATGTAGGATTAATCATATATGATTATATAGTATGACATCTAATAATTCATATTATTATAATCATATATGATTAATGATATATGATTAACTGTTCTAATAATATGAATTATCATATATCATACTATATAATCATATATGATTATATACTGTATTATCATATATCATACTATATAATCGTATATCATTAATCATACATGATTATACAGTATGATATATGATAATTCATATTATAAGAATACATAATCATATATAATTAATCATATATGATTAATCATATATGATTAACTATTCTAATAATATGAATTATCAGATATCATACTATATAATCATATATGATTAATCATATATGATTATATACTATGATATACGATAATACAGTATATAATCATATATGATTAATAATATATGATTAACTATTATAATAATATGAATTATCAGATATAATACTATATAATCATATATGATTATATATTGTATTATAATATATCATACTCTATAATCATATATGATTATACAGTATGATATATGATAATTCATATTATTAGAATACTTAATCATATATGATTAATCATATATGATTATACAGTATGATATCTGATAATTCTTATTATTATAATCATATATGATTAACAATTATAATAATATGAATTATCAGATATCAAACTATATAATCATATATGATTATATATTCTATTATCATATATCATAATATATAATCATATATGATTAATCATATATGATTATACATTATGGTATCTGATAATTCATATTCTTACAATACTTAATCATATATGGTTATACAGTATGTTATCCAATAATTAATATTATTAGAATACTTAATCATATATGATTATATAGTTTTATTTTTATCATACATTTGCTTGTAGTTTTTCCATTATGTGCCACATGCATAGTCTATGTCTTGAATTTGGTAAGACAGATTCCACTACTTGTTTTATTGCTGGATCTTGATCAGTTTGAACAATTTTTGGTGCTTTCCCTTCATGATCTCTAAGAAAAGCTTTAATTAGCCATTCATACGACTCAATTGTATCTCTACTCAG